TTTGTGGGGCCAGCTGACTACAAGACAGTGCTTTATCCTCCCAGACAAGTCTGGTACCAATTAACCGACCCCGGAGGGATGGAAGGCTTGGTTGGCCCGAACGAGCACGACCCAGGATTTGATCCCCGGACCGCTCGCGTGGTACGCGCGCCACTTGCCACTACACCACTTCCGCCCTATAACGAATACATACTGTGTTATTATTACCATGCTACTCACGATCAGTTTAGATTTTGTTGCCATTCAGATTTTCTTTATGTTCATAATCCTCCATGACTCATTTGGTGCCTTTCGTCTGAGCCCCAAAACTCACCCTTCAAACCACCCAGTAGATGCGATTTCTCGCGCGCGATAACCCACTAGTGTGGCTGAGTTCCCTGTTAGGAAGTAATGCCCACACCCTTGTCTCCACCGTTTACTATACAGCCACAACTTACTGTCTGACAGCTGACGAGCAGAAAACGTCGAACTTGTCCGTAGTCCTTTGATGGCATTCAGTAGATGTGTCAGGCCTTGGATGGCATTTCGTGCACCACTAGTGGGCGAACGATCAATGACACTCTGGTCTCGTGCCGTGCAATCGATGACGACATCCACCTGGAAACCAGTACTTTAGTGTCATTATGTTTTGGTGCCATTTCTCGTTACAAAAATGAGCCTTCTTTTCTTGTGAAGCATACAGAAAGGTCCAAATTGGTGTGATTGTTTCACACAAAAGTGAAAGCATTTGTGCGAAGTGGACCAGCAGTAAGGAAAAAGGGAAAAGGAAGAATCTGCCGTGGAAGGGCTCTTCCACTCCTGTGCTGAGGCAGTGATAGATCAAGAGAATGGTGAGAGAGCTCAACGAATGAGAGAGCGCAGAACCACCTGCCGCGGAAAAATGGAAGCGGTTGAAGCGGTTTCTGCAAGGTCCTGGCGCCCTTGTTGCGCACTCTAAAGCCGGGAGAATGGGACATCTACAGCTTACGTGAACACCTCTGTTCTGACCATCAAAAAGATTCATTCACCTGAACACACCTGGGTTGCACCTTTAAGTCAGCAATTCCAGAAAAGCAAAAAAATAGAATTACACGAATAATTCCTGGAAATCAATGACTGATTTAATGTGCAGGTCACACTCCCGACTTTTATTCAGAAATGAATGGATGATTTAAAGGCAAACCCCGGGATTAGCCCGACTAGTAGGAAGGCTACCGTGAGGGGAATACTAGGACCCCAATGTAATTGTAATTGTAATTGTAATTAAGCTGCCTTCTTTCTAATGCGTCTTTTCACTTTGAATCTATAGACGTGGCAATCGATGAGCATCTGATGTTTTTCGCGGATTCTTCGAACGCTGAGTATAAACGAGACTTCACAGCTACCCCAAAAAAATGATACAGGTTCAGAAGACGATTCCTACCGATCTATCCTTGAGAGTATGAAGCACAAGTTGCTCATTTCCGATGTCACCGATTACAAGCGTGAAACGGTCCGATTCTCGTATGCGCTGCGGAATCTGCAAAAAGGGCATTGATACATAAAATGTGGCACCAAGGATATTTTATTCTGAGTGTGTGCCTTTGACTTGGGCACTTATAGCCATGGGCTTCAGACCCGGCAATTTCAATAGAACTGAAATGCTTGGCAGATCCGTTAGAAACTCCGAGTTATTCGTCAAGTGCCGAGAGTAAATGAGGTCAATTACCTGAAGGATATCTGTTCGTCCTTTGAGATTGTCAAGCACAGTTATGGGATTTTGAGGTGTTTTCGTAGAGGTGAGTGATAAGCGCTGATCCAAGAAACCCCAGACCTCCGGTGACTAGATATGACATCTCCAAAGTGCGTTCTTCTAAAAATTATTTTCATTCGCGTCCGGTGGTGGCTTCATTAAACGAAAGTAAGGTTCTAAGTTTACGGAAGACACTATAAATCAGCTCGCGTTAAAGACGATTGGAGATTAAATTGATGCCTTATTTGCTTGAGTTTGGCAAGGATAGGAAAGAGAAACTTGGTGGGAGAATTAGAACAAAAGCATTATAGAAAACACTAAATTTCTATTAACTTTAACTTTAATTTCTTTACTGAGCCGGCCGTGGTATGACGGAGAGACACAGCGCTGCGAGGAGAGGGAAAACGCGAGATAGTACGTCGTACGCGAGAGGGCGCAGACCCACGTATGCCGTGGTTGATAAGGATGGCAGCACGGCAGCACACAAGGCAAGACCTTAGCGCCATTGCCTCGTACTTTTGAGTCGCGCTCGTGGCTTTAAAGGCAGTGACTACGATGTGGGTCTTAGCAGTGGAATATCAGTCTCATTGGAAACGGTAGCCTGGCAGCATTGAAATCCAGGTGTAATGTTTTCACGGTCGAAGGAGTGCTGGCCACAATGCAGTGGCGATCCAAATCTAAGGCTGGCTCCCTCTCCCAAAATCGACCCCCCCCCGAGCGTGATTATTGAACTTATGATATCGTTTTCATTAGCGTTTAATTTTTGTTTTGGAATTGCATTTCACATCAAACGGTCGCGTCTTGTAGTCAAGTCGTCCTTTGCACACATCCTGTAAATCTCGTAGAACAGTTACCCCACTAAATCGTGAGCTCATCCTAAGTCAAGAGGCAGAGTGAAGGCCTCAGTTCCCATGGTTCAGACAGATTACCTATCAAGTATCCACCAAATTGGAGCCTAATCGGCCAGCAATCCTCTCTATATATAAGTTATGAAAGTAAATGAATTTATTGGTTCTGCTGATGCAAATTATTTCACGTGCATCGAACCCTCAACAGTGGCAAATGCAAATAAAACTACCATTCGGTCATGAATGGGAACCAGTTGAATAGGTCAATGAAAAACAACAAGAAGAACAATAGGACAATGGGACCTGCGCCGCCAGTACGTTCTCTATAAATCAACCAGAGGTCTTATAAAGGCCAATAGCATAAAAGGGTGGAGGATGGCTGATAAGAGTCGGAATGATCTTGCCCCCCCCCCCCTTAGCAAGGATGCCGTCCATCACGGGATTAAGAGAGTTGTCCTACTGCGGTCCTTTTTCTCCACCTAACGTCATAAACTGGTACAAGGTGCGGCTTTTGAAGGTTTGTTCTTTTTCTGAATTCTATGCAGCTCTACACTGTTCAGTTTGTCTTCAGCTGGCAGAGTCATGAGCTCGCCACTGTTGCGCCATCCAAAGAGTAAGTCGGGAACGGGTACCAAGAGGTGCTCTCAAGGCTAGAAAGAGGGTTCCTCAAGGCCTTGCGAGATAATTTGTTTGAATTCACGCGAATGCATGCCTTCCTTCATCTAACTCAAGAGCAGCTTCCTTAGTGCCATCACTTCGGTCCCGGGAGGCCGTTGACACTGAAAAGTTCTGATGCCCATTGAAGCCTCAATTTTATTGTATCGTCCATCTTACGTCCCTCCCCTCCACACCGCCCAGCGGAGCAAAAGGAAGTAATCACGGACTGTTCTGAGTAGCATTTGTTTGTGGAATCCGTCGTACATATTGAACCCAGCAATAGTAAATTTGCTTTCGTCTCCACGAATCTTTACTGTAGGTCCTCGTTTGCTCGAGCCGGTTGGTGGCGAGGCTGTTCAGGGCTGGCCTAAGCGGCGGACGTGACGGCCAGTCGTGGACCGAAAGTCTCCATGTACTCTCTTCGTTAATACATAGTTTGAGAATTGGAAAACTGAATAAAAATATAGGTTGCAAAAATTGAAATATGAACGAAGTTGTAAGAAGATAGGCGGAAATGTCGAGCATTAACGAAAGAAAAAGAACCAATATGGACGCTCAACATGCCGCAGGAACGTGGTGTGTTCTTTTGATGGTCGAGACGGACATCGCGAAGCGGGTGAAGGTCACGTTTGTAAGGGGATCGCGCTACCCTTTATCTGATGCTGTTTTTTCGCCATCGATGCTAAGTCGGCGAATAAGATTCTGAAATCCAGGTCATCAATTTCAGTGTCCTTGAAAGATTGGAATGGCCATTTTCAAGCAAACAGTGGTTGATTGTTTAGTGGCACTTCTCAAATAGACAACAAAGGGAGAAATACGTGCAATTTCAGTAAAAACGCCCCCTGGACTGCTTCTTCGTGTCTCGATTAATTATTTTTGCAAAAGCATGTCACTTGGCCAGGGTCAACCGTCGCGTCCGAACTTTTGCAAAAATTCTGCGACTCCCCTCCCCTTAAGGGGTCTTGGTACGACCTGCCCCCTACCACCATCATCTGCCCTAGAAGGATCCCCAATAGCGATCCTCCTATCGCCAACCAGACCACCATCCTCGCCATCATGGCTGTTTCTATGGTATTTGATTCTGAGACCAGTCGACACAGCCCAGCTCTGCCCACATTTTCCTCCAAAATGCTACCTAGGGGCAGGGAGCCCAGAGTGAGGGGTAAATATGCTTTGAAAAGGGGAAACGGCAAATGGTCTGATTTCGTCTATTTCACGTTCCCTCATGAAGTTCTCGCCGAAATCGTCGCAGAACCGTCAAAAACGAGCTTGTTTTCCACCACGACTCCTTCAACTTCCGCAAATACAGCCATAGAACCCCCATTCACACGTTCCCTAACATGGCTAACCTTACTCAATCTCAAATACGACTCCCTTTCCCAAAATCACTAAAGTGACCCCTTCGTTTGAATAGTGACAGACGGCTGACCCTCAGAATGGTATGATCATAGCCTACGTGAGAATTTCCTCTACCATGCTCACCAATATCGATGACATGGCGCATCAAATATAGGGCTGCTCGACGTGGAATTTCAGAGGCATCGATTGACGGCACGTGAAAGGTCGCGTAGACGATTCATTATTGTATTGCGAGCAGAGAACTTGCACTGAACAAAAGGACTAGAGACAAAAATATCCAGAAAGGAAGATACTTTGAAAGAAACAAGGACAATGCTGTTACAGTGAATAAAGTCGTCACCAGCCATCGACAATGTTCGTGTGAGGAGGTCATTGTGAAGCGTTTATTTTATTGAACTGAAAAACGCGGAACCGCGCCTAAGTGTCATCCATGGTTTGTTGGCTGAATATCCATCGAAACAATTTACAAATCTCATTTCAAATGCAACGCATGGCAGCATTCCAAAGGTATTTTCTCGACATTATCTTTCACTTTATCCATTCCACGGCTTAGCCAGGACATCACCTGTGGCAAACCTGTTAATTTATAATTTGTTTGTCTGTTCACTTATTTAGTTCATACGTAGCACGTATAGATAGGCCAGTGAGAGCAAGTGAAAAACGCAGAGCGGCTTCTCGAATTAGGACGAATTCACGATGAAAAAGCAACCCATTTCAAATTAACCTAGGGATGGTGAGTGGTACACGAAAGAAGGAAGAACCATGAGAAACGGCCCAGAACCCGAAAATGGGACCCCTTCCTTGCCCGTTGATTTGAGCATTGATGCGACTCTCATCGCTGTGCCCTCTTCAACACTACGCTCTCTCAGCTATCTAATCACTCGCCACGTATTGAACTACGGCGAGTGATCAGATGATCGCGTAATCAACGCAGTATAGCATACATAGTCCTAGCCTCATTACCTTAGGCCCCTAGCCTCATGAGCATAGCAAAAAGAACGGAACATAAGCGTTAGTTTCGATAATACTAATCCTACACACAAGACAAAATGATCACTCTTTCCGTGGAAGATTCCTTTAAGGTATCGTTTTCTGTGGTAATGAGGGCGGAGCTTTTTCCGTGGAAGATTCCTTTAAATCAGCTAAGAATTTGAGGAAATCATAAATTAAGGGCAGTGAGAACACTGAATTGGGTGATCACTATGGGTAAATATGCGCCACTGAGAGCAGTAGCCAACCGACAATGGAAACGATATGTTGCGTTTCTGAGGCCAAAGGCCATTGCACTAACGGCAGCGCAATGTTGGGCTCCAGACGAATAGGTCCCGCCACCAAATCGGCCCCGCCCTCCCTGGTTATCTCGCTGTCTTAGTCGGTCGAATTTCATATCAAAAGTGCATTGTTGCCAACTGTAGTGGGCCAGATGTGGTAATCATTTTGTGAAATACCTGGTAAGGCTTTGTTCGGATGAGTCCACTGAGAAGGCTTGTGAACGATATGAAACCCACCAGTTGGGGGCGTGGCTTACTAATGTGGGCGGGATTTCATGTGCCAAGGCACATCACATGGTTATTTCTTCATTGAGCAGCGGTATTTTTGACGGAATTCAATCAGCTCTCAGAGGGAGAGAGAGTCAAATAATCTTGCAACAATGCGGGATTACTCATTGTACACGATTGGCATTTACATGATTACATCACAGCCAACACATTGTGTGAGCCTCACGGTTGCTTCCAAGCAGGGTCGGTCCTATCGTTGCTACTTTTCAAAAAGTTTTTACGACCCCCCTCCCTCATGAAATGTTTCATACGACCCCCTCTTTCCCAAAAAATTACCGTCGAGCGGGGGGGGATATATACGCGCGCTGAAACGGCAAATTTTCTCCCGCGCCGCTCCCCACTCATCACATGCAACTTCTTACAACCGAAGCAAGTACGACCCCCCTCTACAAACTCACCAAAATACGACCCCCCGTTGCTACTTGTAGCAACATAGGGTTGACCCTGCTCCAAGTCGTTACGTAATCTGAGACCTACGGCGAACTTATGCTCGAAGAAATGCTTGCGCAAACGAACCTAGTACTACTTACAGGAGGGTAAGGGTACGGTCTGGGCGGTCGTATGTAACCACCAACGCGGTCATTCTGGCTTTTCGGCTTCTGCTACTCCTCGGGCATTGACTCCACACTTATCATTTGCTGTCGTTGCAGGTTTCGGCAATATCTGCGCTGCCACAACTCCTGCAGTCTTTCAAATGCCGCTGGCACGTTTTCCTGCCTCCATTTCATCTTATTTTTTCTGCTACATGACAAACAGCTGTAGGCATTTTTAACGTTATGAAGGAAAACTGAGAGAGTGGCGCAACTTGAGCCCTATGGAGCGTAAACCATACCATCGCTGAGGAATATGTAGTAAAAAAAACGATGAAATAGAAATAAAAAAATAAAAAAAATTAACTCAAGCCATCACAATAGAAACCAAATGGACAGCTTTGCCTCTGCCTCAGGCGAGGTATTCATGGCCTTGAGCCAGACTGGTAGCACACTTGTCTGGGAAGATCAAAGCACTAACTTGCACATCGGCTAGCCCTCATAAGGCATTTTTATACTTTTCAGGATGCGCCACGCATTCGACTACCATCCAGAGTCGTAGTGGGATTATAAGGGCTATTTGGTCCATAAAATGCCTTATGAGGGCCAGCCCATGTACAAGCCAGTTCTTTCGCCCTCTTAAACAGGTCTTGCTAACAGTTAATTGTTCCCACAGAGAAGGAAGGCATGGTTAGCCTGGCTGGCACGCTGTCAAGGATTAAATCCCGGACTGTGCGCATGGTATGTAGCGCCACTGCTGCTAAAACACTTTCGTTCAAAATCTAATGCATATGAGATAGAGGAGATTATACCATATGCGGCAATAGAGGTAACTAAAGGGGTGAAACTTATTCAATTCGAGGCATAAATTAAATTCAAAAGGCAAAGTTCAAAGAGAATACAAAATTGACAAGCCAGAACC